TTTACAGCTAACAGGTCATGGTTGACAATGCAGCTCCTGTGTCAAGTCCAGTAACTGCTTGATAAATCATTTAAACTACAAAGTCCAAAGAAAACCACCGTGAACAGAAAAGTCGTAGCAGATGGCTAATTTCTAATTGAAGGCAGCATTTTATGAAAGTATTTGATCTGATTCAATTTCATGTCCACATTTAGCTGAGGCTAAAGTGGGGCTCTTATAACAAAGCAGGGTCCTGTCATCAACTCAGCAGCAGAACTGACCTCCTCTTTCGTGTCTCCAGTGTTTCAGGATGTCCACGTCATGATTTTCATCGGATTCGGGTTCTTGATGACCTTCCTGAAGAGATACGGCTTCAGCAGCGTGGGAATCAACTTACTCCTGGCTGCATTCGGCCTGCAGTGGGGCCTCCTCATGCAGGGCATCTGGCACCTGGATGACGGCAAGATCAAAATCAACATCTTCAAGTATGACTCACTGGGGATTTCTATGTTCCACCTCCTCTCCTTATTATCCTATCATTTCGTTTTCCTAATGATTTATTTCCTTCCATCTCCTGCAGAATAATCAATGCAGACTTCAGCACAGCTACAGTCCTGATCTCCTTTGGAGCTGTTCTGGGTAAAACCAGCCCTGTGCAGCTCCTCATCATGACCATACTGGAGATCACCATCTTCTCCATCAATGAGCACCTGGTGGCAAATGTTCTAAAGGTGAGTACGCAATGACACGTGCGTGTGTTGTTGAACTACATGAGCAAAACACAGCATTATGACCATATACCTTCACTGTGTAAACTGAATTGTGTTATACACACATTGCCACAACTGTATTGTTACGGATCCACTTTCTTTTTGCAGGCTAATGACGTTGGGGCGTCCATGATCATCCATGCTTATGGAGCGTACTTCGGCCTGGCAGTGGCTCGAGTGCTTTACCGACCAGGTTTAAGAAACGGACATGAGAACGACGGATCTGTTTATCACTCTGATATGTTTGCTATGATTGGTGAGAGCCAGTTACACTTTAAACTAATTTAATTTATTGATCATCTGTTTAAAACAGTAATGTGTTTTATTAGGCTCCAATTTTCCCTCGCTGGGTCATCACTGACCTCCTGCACATATATGGCGTATGCCACCTAGTGGACAACAGTAGTCATGCAGCATGTACAGTGGTAAAGCCATATCGACCTCAGCTGTGTATTAATCCTGTTGAGGAAAAATTAATATTGACACTTAATTTGTGAAAGTATCTAATTTGCAGCGCGGTTTGATGTGAATGAGACTGATACAAATGCTGTGTCTTTATCACCCTCTTTCTACAGGAACCGTCTTCCTGTGGATGTTCTGGCCCAGTTTCAACTCGGCCATCGCTGACCCGGGCTACACACAGCTCACCGCAGTTATCAACACCTACCTCTCCCTGGCTGCCTGTGTGATGTCTGCCTACGCCATCTCCAGCCTCGTGGAGCACAAAGGAAAACTGGACATGGTCGGAAAACTTTCCTCTAACATTCACAGTAACACTTGTTCAAGAATAAACAAAACAAAACAATGAAGTTATATACTTATATTTACATCTTCATGCTGTATAGGTGCACATTCAAAACGCCACTTTGGCTGGTGGCGTTGCCGTGGGAACGTGTGCTGACATGAACATCGAGCCATTTGGGGCCATGCTGATTGGATTAGTGGCTGGCATCATCTCCACCCTTGGCTTCAAGTACCTAACTGTGAGTTGAAAATCAAAGCAAAGGTGAAAAATAAAAAAAATGAGAGTGTTATAAAGTATAATTTTTAAGTTTGAGAATGTATGGTAGAAACTTAAGTTAACATTGATAACAGATTAACTGTGTAAGTAATTTCTAAGAAAAAGATGGCAAAAAAGATTGGCTTTTCAAGTATGAATATTTTCTAGTAATATTGTATGAAATATTTTCTTCAATGACAGTAAATTGAATATCTTTAGGTCAAAACAAGACATCTGAAAACATCCCCATAGACACAAGGAAGCTGGGAACATTAATCAATAATCAAGATATTCATTAGCAAACCACTTGATACTTCAAAAGACTGTATCTGTCAGCCAAAAGCAATCAATACAGAGCTCGTGATCATTTTTTAGTATCAAAATGCATATTTCACCTTTTAAAAAGACATTCATTTGGTTGCTACATGATGCCTCTTTTCCTCCTCTGCAGCCCATCTTGTCATCCAACCTGGGCATCCAGGATACCTGCGGTGTCCACAATCTGCACGGCATGCCCGGCATCCTGGGTGGGTTGGCTGGTATTGTGGCCGTGGCTTTGGGGAAGAAAGCGGGGTAAGGGCCATCTTCTTCACCACAATTCTTATCCATACATCTTGTAATATATGTATACACACATAACTGTATTGCAGCTTTGAAACTATTTTATACTCCAACTAAATGTCAGTTTCAGGCTCTTACAATCTTGTCTCTTCTCCTCCTCCTCCTCCTCCTCCTCCTCTTCAGAGGTAGCGCTGCCATGCAAGCTGCTGCCTTGGCTTCATCCCTCGGGTTCGCTTTGGTTGGAGGTTTTCTTACAGGTGGGTGGAGATGAAAATTAAATCATGAACGTGACACATAACAGTTATACCTTTGTGACTCCATGAAAAGGGCAGGGTTCAAACAATTCATTTTCTTCCACAAGGTTTTATAATGAAGTTGCCGATCTGGGGACAGCCTCCAGACCAGAACTGCTTCGATGACTCTATTTACTGGGAGGTGAGAAATCCCGTCCCTCATAAACATCATCTCTAGTTTCTGTCTGTGACAGACTTAGTAGCCTGATGTTTTTGTGGTTTTGGAATCATGTCAGACAGATGTGGTTCTCTGCATCAGTATGTAGATATTATCACTATTCTCATAACTATGTCAACTTTCTGGTATTAGTGCATATAAGCAAATGATGGTCTGTTTCATCATGCTACATGAATAATTTGGATTGCATGCTTTCCAGGTTCCTGAGGAGGAGGACGAGAACGAGGAGAGCTTGGCTCATGCTGATCACTCAAAGAACAAAGCAGAAGCTTAAATGTCTGCCCATCATCCACTGAGCTCAAAACTGAGAAGTAAAGGATTATTAACCAGCTACATGATGACCACAGACATCAATTTAGTCAATTTTGAGACTGTTTTGTGAGCAAAGATATCTTCACGCAGGGTATTTTTCTTCTGACATTATTTACATTAATCCCATTTACAGTAAGAAAAAAAGAATATTTTAAGACTTTGAAAAGACAACATCAACCTTCAGGGATTTATTTTTAACACTGAAAGTTTTGATTAATTATCTACAACAGTTGTGGGCCACACCAGTTAGTTTCACTGCTGATACACAACTACTTCTATAAGCTTTTCTTTATGTCATTTTATATTATAAAAAGCATAAAAGCATGTTTCAAGATATTAGCTTATTGTGTGTATTTTTTCTTCATACATTCTTTTATATTTCCATACACTTGGAGTAGGCATTTTCTCTGCTGAGGCTTAGGTCAAAGAGAAGAGATGAACTCAGCTTTGATCTGCAGCTTCACGTTACCTCACTGGAGCCCATTCCTTCAACTCGAAAAGGAGTCAGAGTCAGACTGTGAAACCAGCAACGTGGCTCTGACATGGGCAGGGATAGTCGCATGATATTCTTGTAACTAATGAACCTCTGCGTGTCTTATCTCCTGTTGCTTCCAAGCGTTTTCTGTCTATCAGAGGGCAGCTGTACAACTTCTTTTAACGCTACGCATTCAGAGCTGTGCATTTACCATTAGATTGGTTGTCACACAAGCTGAGGTTTATGGGTTTTTTTTTTTCCTTTTTACTATTTACATCAAATGTATTCTTACATGTACATACAGTTTAGTTCTTAGATGGATTGACATGGTCAGTTTTAGCAAGGCCCTGCAATGTCAGAAAAAAGAGCAACTGGTACTGAACACATTTTAGACATCATTTAAGGAATGCAACATGAACTTGCTCACTGAAAAATGAGGAAGGGCTGGCATTTTATCAGGCACAGATGACATTTTTTAAATCCATTTTCACACTCATGTACACTATTAAACATTTTTATGCATCAGTTGGTCTATTTTCATTATCTGTAGATCTATTTTCTATTTTTTATTCCGTTTTCCCAAACAAAATGCATGGTGTTGCAGGGCTGGAGGACAGGTTTTTAGTGGCTTAAACATCAAAGCATAGGACTGCAGGGCTGGATAAAACTGACTACACATAGCGTTAATCAATATTTTGGTTTGTTAAATGATTTATGATGCCCAGAACACTGAAATGCATCAAGATTTTGTATTTTTATACAGCGGGCATATGCTCTTATTTGTATAATATACTAATACTGTCATAATAAATATGTTTTTGTACAATACCAGTGTTTATGTGTGATTTTATGGAAGTATTTAGTGTTTCCACATTACCAACCATTCCTACACTTAAATATGTGTGGAAATGTTAGTTTTTTGGTTACTATTAAGCCACAGTGGACCAGAAATGCTTGAGGGTTGAGTGCTAAAAAAGATGAAATTTTAAAGATTAACAATGTTCATGACACAAATTAAATCTGCTGATGAAAATAATGTGACTCCTGAAAGAGCTTTTAGTCAAATGGACTTTAAGGTGAGGTTTTATTTGACTGAGTAGCCTTTTTAAGTTACTGTGGAAAGTGAGGAAACATAGTAGACACATAGCTTCGTCCTCGGTTTGAGATCACTTTCAGGCAGTTAAAAATTAAACTGGTTTACAGAAATCCTCACCAGGTGACATATGTGTTAATATGATGTAATTTACAACTTTATCTTACCTGTTTAACCCTCTGTGATGGAGCAAACAATTAGCATCGTGGACATGTTAGCAGGTAGCATTAACTGTTGTGTTCGCTTGGTTACCGCTGGGGGGCGCTGTCACCGTTTCTCTGTAGTTTTCACTCCCGTGTTTTGAACGTAGCCAGCAGCGGTGCATTACGGGATACAAAATGTCTCCTCAGAGTGCTAGCTAATGCCAATTTATGAGGGATAACCGCGAATAAATATATATTTTACTCTTTTTTTCCCAGCGGTTGTAGAGTCAGTATATATGTGATACTTTAACTGTATTCCGTTGAAGCCATGGTGAGTACAGAGCCTCTTCTTTCTGTAGCATTAGCAGTTTATTTAATATCTTCAAGCGCATTTTAGCGTCAGCTTAAGTAAACGTAGTCCTGCTGAAGCGTTCAACACCACATGAAGGACAATTCATGTATTAACGACTCTGTAAATAATTTCATTTAAACTTGGGATATGTGTTTAAAACGGTAAGGTGCAACTTTATTGCGTGTAACTTTTATTAGCTAACGCCGTTCTCCAGGAATGCGGATCAGATTTCAGTGTAAAACCGTCGCTCGACTCACATTAATATCGATTAGTGATAGTTTTTATTGTTAATAGCAGCTAATGTAGTGTCATGTGGCGCAGAGTTTTTGACAATATTTGGGATTTGGATGTATTAAGTATATGCTACTTCTGACTTTATTTTAATGACCACCGAATGATTGAGAATTTTGTAAAACTATCCATGAAGTGAGCTAACATGTGATTGATCCATCTTTTTGTATTGATCATGTTGACACTAGAATCGATCTTTGAATAAGTCTTAGTATGTTGTGGTATCGATACTATTAGTGATTAATCCGCCCCACTCTTGGTAAACATCTGTTTTTGTTCCTAGTCAACAAAAGCGGAGTGCAGAGTGTCCAGCTCCACTTCCAGAACAGATGAGAGGAGGAGATCGAGGAGCAGAGGCAAGACAGCCTCAAACACCGCAACATAAAACTCACCATCACAGTAAACACTTGACTAGAGCGAGGCATCATCCACTGTTATTTGTGTTAGTTATCAATGAATGTTGTAAGAGACAACGAAGGCCTGAAGAAGAGACTGCAAAAGTTGTTTAAGTTGTTTCTCCATTTTGACCTGTCATCTTATGGTTCTCAATAACTGACTGCTAATGCACTGTATCTGCTAAAATGCATGAATTCTGATATTGTCATTCTGACACAAATCTTGCTTGTGAGGACCAATATCAGCATTAAAGAAGTCAGGTTTTTTCTTGGAATGTAGCCTAAAATCACAGCTTTATCGACAAGTGTATACAATTTATATTAGTACTAGATTGCAAATCACAGTATATTCTAAATTCGATTGTTTAAATTAAACTTTCGTCAGTCAAGGTAAATGGTAAATGACTGCATTTATATTGTTTGAAGGTGTATATGTAGCACTCTACATCTGGCTTATAAGAATGTATAGTGTCTTGTAAGCCCATACATGCTGGACATAGTCATATATGTGACACAAACAAAAATTTAATTGATTATTCATTCTATATTTTGGTCTCTCTTTATGATGTCTGTTTTATTGTTTGTGTCTTGTTTGTTTTCAGGGCGAGAAAAAAGCAAGCGGAAACGCAGCCGTAGTAGATCTTCCTCATCGTCCTCTTCCAGTTCATCGTCATCATCTTCATCATCCTCTTCCTCATCATCCTCTTCTTCATCGGGTTCATCACACTCATCCAGCCGCAGTCGAAGCAGCTCCAGCAGCAGTGGTGAGTGAACAAATGAGTCTGCAATAAATCTGTGAATCTTTGGCTGATAAACTTTGTTTGTGGTTTGTTGAATTTCTTCTAAAATGCTATTTTCTTCCAACAGATCTTTTTATGTACAGAGTGCTTTGTAAATCTAGGTTGTATGTGTATTTTCATCATCATAACTACTAAAATCCATGGTCAGGTTTGACTCAACACATTGTTTTGTTGTCGTTGTTGTTGTTGTTTTTAGACTCCCGCAGTAAATCCAGAAAGCAGTCTAAGAAAAGGAAAAAGGAGAAACAACACAAAAAAGTAATTTTCTGCTCATTTGATTTCATTCATTTTCTTAAGTCTCTCACAGAAAACTGAGTGTTACTTATTTTGTATTCTGAACCAGAAGGGAAAGAAAGAGAAGCGGCACAAACGTAAAAAAGACAAGAAAGCAAAAGGAGGAGAGGAAAACTCGGGACCTGTACAGATCTCCAAGGTAGCAAAACAGCTCATTCAACACCATTCATTAACAATCCATTCACATTCATTAGACAAGGAATGTTTTACCATACATTGTGTCCCACAGTATATTATTCCTCTAGCTATGTATGTAGTACATCCATGTAAAATGTGTTCGTGTATCAACAACGTATATTACAACTTACACACATTAATGTAGAAACTTTTAGATCCAAGTAATTCTTCTTAATCAATCCATATTGTTCCGTTATCACAGACTAATTATGTAACTTTGTCAGTGTTATTTTAATGTTTTTGTATTGCAGCCCCCCTAAACTTACATTTGTTTTTCTTTCAGTACTTGAAGGACAGGAAAAAAGGCAAGTACAGCATGATTTCAGGGAAGAAGATAAAGATGAAAGTAAAGAAGTCAAAGAAAGACAAACAGGTAAACTCACCTTTTTGCTGTCAAGTAGGCGAATAAATGTGCCTTTAATAGTTTGTGAATTGATTGTTATTTGCTTTGGTTCACATCTCCCCTTTTTTTTCTTTTTTTGTTACAGCGGGATAAAAATCGGGCAGAACTTCTTGAGTTCTTGAACTCTACCCTGTGATGCCACTGGACGCCAGTAGCGGTGGTCGGGCTCGTCAGCAGAACTCAGGAAACAACAACTCAGCCTTGAGGACGAGATGATGAATACGACTTGAATGAACACACGGGCAGCACTGAGCCAGATGGAGGGAAGGAGCTGCAAAGTGAGATGCTGCTGTCCAGGTTCCCCATTCTTCAATTTTTACTCCGATCGCTTTTGTGACATGAGCAGAGTTTTTGTTGAACGGTGTCTTTATCTGTGGCCAAATAGATCACATGAAGGTGTAATTGTCATCAGGCAGCGTCAGAGTGTTCAAAGTGGGTAAAGTGCCAGTCATTGGCTTCTCAACTTTGCCTGTGGTTTGAACGTATGCCATCCCTCTAAAAGAGTACTCCACCGATTTCGCATTGCACATTGTTGGACTCACATTTGAGAATAATCATTGTAAAAATGATCAGAGTTTATGCAGCAGAGGCAGAGATATTGTCTGTTTTTTGTTCCATGCATTCTTCTGTCGTGTCAAAATCTGCATTATCCAGAATGCAACTTGACCACTGACGGGTCGGTTGGAGATTTGGGTGTGTTACGCTAGTTGTGGCTAATGTACCCTCAAGCCTCTAGCTTCATGCAGAGATGAGGAGAGGGCTCCAGAGATCTGGTGAGCTCAGTTTTTTCTCCATACCAGTGCGGACATGAGTAACCTCACTTGAGGACATCAGATTTCATACAGCTCCCTCTGGAGCCACAAAAGGCTTTATAAACCTTTTTTTTTTTTTTTTTTTTTTTTTTTTTTTACCATACATGCAGAAGTACTCCCTAAGACCTGCAAACAGACTTTGATGTGTAAAATCGGTGAAGTTCTTCTTTGAAGTTCCAGATATTTTTTTCCAGCTGTCAATCATTCATGTCAACTTTACTTCATTTAGAACTGTCCATTCTTTTGTAAATACCTGCCCGTTATGTTTTCACAGTAAAACTTGGCTGTCGGAACCACAGTGTGTACCAATACCTTAGTTTTTAATGTCTACATTTTGTTTAAAATGAAATGAAAATCGACTCTGCTTTGTGTTTAATGATTACTGTACCACTTACTCATAACATTCATTCCCCGAATTCTGTCACCTCTGTTATCAATCTTGTTTCAGCATCAGTTACTTTATTAAACTGAAATACAAAACAAAATTACTGTTAGCCCTTGTATCAAACCAGTTAAAAAGCTTTATATGGACGATGGAGTAAACCTCTTGTGAACTGTTGAATTTTGCTGTGTGACAAACAGAAGAGAAACGGCAATAAACTGGTGGGAAGATTTTACTTCGAAATGTTTCACTCAGAAAGATCTTTTCTCATACAGTGATCATTTCTTGGTGTGTTTTCGTCTGTGGCACACTCTTTCAAATGAAGAACACGGAAGGAAAGCTTTGTGTTTGCTGACCTTGGATGAAGAATCATTGTGCGGAGTCCTTGTGCTGTTGCGAGACAACAAAGTGCTGTATGTGGAGAGAGCATGACTCGCTCTCTGAATGACCTTAATGTGAACATTAATATTACCTGCAATTTGTTTTAAGACTGTATGGGTAACATCTATACAGAAATCTCTTGCAAAACTATCTGTCATAAAAGACCATTCACCTCTCAGGCCATTTGTGAAGTCATTTTGTCCTGCAACAAGAAAGCTTAAAATTACATAAATATCCCTACCAAGCTACAGTAAATAGCCCTCAGTGCTTGGATGCCAAATCTCTACAAAATATAAAAGGCATCACTGCAAGAGCTGATAATCTCAGTCAGTAGAAACTGAAACTGTAACTTAGTGCTGTCAAGGTACAGAAGATCTGAGAAAACACCTGGCATTAACCCTTTCAGATGAAAAGATAAGTAAACAGATCAAATGCTGAGTGGTCTCATACTGAAAATCAGGTGTAAAGAGGATGTACTGCAGCAGAGTTCTCGAGATCAGCATCTGTCCCACTCGAATGTCCCGTCATCACTCTCCTGAACGCCCCGCATCAGACAACCTTACTGCCACTGGTTCCTTTGTATCTGAAGTCAGGCACGCTCCATACTCTCTGCGACCTCTCCATCCCTTTCTCCACGTCCTCTGACACCGTTTTGAGGTCGCTCAGCCCCGCTCCGTCGGCCGCAGCAGAGGTCAGACCCACCGTGCTTCCGAAGGGGTTGATCTTGATCCGGGACTTGAAGTTGATGAGGGACATGCTCATGGCACGCTTGTTGTTCCACTGGCGGGCGAGCCGCTGCGTCTCCTGCTCCTCCTTCAGGTGGTCCAGAGCCTCCAGGAGGACAGAGCGGAACAGGCTGGACACCTCCTGCGCCTCGGGCTCATTGGCCTGCATTACCTCCCTGAACCTGTGCAAAGCAAAACACAAGTACGTGAGCTGATGAGAAATTATATAATAACCACTTGGTTGCACTGTTTATTCTATTTCTATTTCTATAATGATGGGACTTGAGCTTGAACTGTTGCTGTGCATCAACTGAAATGTAAGCGTAACGTAGAGCAGCTATAATCAATATTTTTATACAACATATCAAATATGTTTGCCCAGTAAGCCTCCTTAAATCTGAAACACAGATGAAGTTAGAAGAGCTACTCTGAGTTCATGTCGGTTCAGTTTTGAACCAAGCATATGAAACGATAATACGTAATGGAATACCACAAACAAAGGCAAGGATAATGCACCAAAACTATGTCAATACATTTGCAGTATCTTTTTCATTTCTCTCAGAATAAGTGCCAGTGCAGGCAACTGAAGAGAGAACCTTTCGTTTGTTGTACCAGAGTTTTTATTCTGGCCTTTGCACAAAAGAACATGTGCACGATGGCAAATGTTATAAAAGGCAACCCGGATCAAAGTCATCAGTGCATGACCAGCACGCTCCTGCTAACCCCCCAATTACTCCTCCTCCTAACGAGGTGCTGAAGCCCTAACAAGCCTTTAAATAGACGTCTGTTTGAGGACCTGCTTGCCAGTAAGTGCCTCCAGTTCAGTGATGATTGGTCTTATTCCTTCTGCCTAGACCAGAGCCATAAACACATGTTAGCGCTGAAGAGAAATTATGTTGTTTGTGTCACATTCAGCGCAGGACTCATATTTATTACAGTGCACTGACAACAACTGTCATTGTTAGTATTGGGATATCTTTTATTACATTTTTTTTCTAAGCCTTTCTAAGGGCAAACATTAAATTTTGACTATAAGTTTCTGATTGAGGGTGAAATAGTTGTGACAAGAAAAAAAATCCCAACTCAAGGCTCACTTATTAGCTTTATCTGGAGCTTTCAACTGCAATTCTGTTATGAGCAAACTCCATCTGCTCAGGAAGACAATGAGATGTGGTTAAAAGCTCTTGAAAAAAGCAAGTAATGGACCTTGCAGTAAGATATTTTTAATGTTTTGTAATTGGTTTCCTATTTTCAATATTACAAGGGAAGATGAGCAGTCATTCTGTGGAAGGTAATGGGTTTCAAGTAAAGAACAGGACAGGCTGACATTTGGGAAAACCCAAAGTATCTCCCCTTCTGAGAGAGCAGCAGTTAATTACTATTCAAGGCCAATCTGAGAACTGAGGACTCCACCTTCATGCAGCTAATTAAAATCTCAAAAACATGCTCCAGTTGGTCCCTGTTTTGTGTGTGTGTGTGTGTGTGTGTGTGTGTGTGTGTGTGTGTGTGTGTGTGTGTGTGTGTGTGTGTGTGTGTGTGTGTGTGTGTGTGTGACTTCCACATAGTCTTTTGCCCCTCACTGCTAACCTACATTAACACCTCTCAAACTGCTTCCAAAAAAAAAAGCTGTCAAACTCTAACAAGACACCTGAGACCTCAGCAGCTTCCTGCGAACAGATGCTCAAACAAGCTCAGGACGACTGTGCTGCAAGGACAGAAACACCGAAGTGTTACAGAGTTATGTGTGGGATGACAGAGAGGTTGGCCATCTGATCAGTTTCCATGGCGAAGCGTCTCCCTTCCTCTGCCAGCGATGATGAAGTGTGTTTGTCAGCAACATGTCTTGAAATCATATGAACAGTGGGGGTGTGCTTTAATGCAGGGGCAGTAGTGAGGGGAAAAGTGGAGCCTGGAGGTCAAGGTCAATTTATATATCAGTGATTTTGAAATTTTACATTGTTAGCACCACGACTGTTGGCCGAATAAAACTTTTAATAGACTATTCCTTGTATCTAAATGAATTTTAGAGCCTCTAAGCGAGTGTGTTGAGAGTGGCAGCAGGTCCTCACCCTGTGTTTTCAGTTTTTATACTGGTCCAATGTGATCTGGACTTGACAAGTTTAAATATAGTGGTTTTGAAAATCTGAAGGTGGGTTTAAAAGGTGGGTCACAAGATAAATGTGAGGGGTTGTGAGATGATTAATCAGAGAGGAGGTTCTGTGGCACAAATTTGTATTTGTTAGACTTTGATCTCACTTTTATTTATTTATTTCTATTTGTGAAATGATGAATAATTTGACCTCTTTGAGCCTCAAAATCATAGACATCTGAAACATGTGAAGAGGCCTCAACCAGTCACTGCTTTTTTTTGTACTTTAGTTTCATCTTTAACGATGCATCGTATTTTATAAGATGACTTTGTGCTTTATTTCTTGAAGTACTTGTCTGCATTTTTGTGTCGGCTCAGTGTCTCCTTACTTCAGTATGACCAGCCCGCAGCAGGACGGCGGCACCTTGGAGCAGAGGTCCTCCAGGCCAAGCTTCTCCCCGGTGCTGATGCTGTAGGAGGAGCGAGGCGTGCTGGCCAGCCAGCTGTAGTCCACTCCAGTCTTGAGGCGCCGGTACTCGTTCTCCCTCTCCCTCTGCTGCCTCTCGGCCTCCTTCAGCTGCCAGCTGAACTCCAGCATCAGGGTGTCGGTGACCACGTCTGCCGGGTCCCGCCGGGGGCTCCGGTAATAAGGCTCATTCCAGCTAAACCAGGAGGCCATGGCCTTGTCCTCCCTCACAGGCCCCTGATGAGGGAGAGGTAATCAGAGGGAGTCATCACACTGAAATGATTAGATGTGACCTCAAATGAAATGAGATCACAGAATATTACTGCCAAGCTTTTGAAATGCTTTCTCAGATTAACTGATAGCAGAATGAATTTTTGTTTTGCAAGCGGCTGGATGATAAAACGTGAGTGCTCACTGCTTGTTGTTCTTTCAGTGGACCCACAGATTAGATTTGCTGCTTTTATTAAAAGTAAAGTAATGAGCTGACAGTGAGACATTTTAAAAAAAGTTAAACAGTAATTGAAGTCTATTTGTCTTCACTTTGCAGAATTTGAAATGTGAGACCAATAAAATAAAACAGACAGCACAGTCAAACACGCTGAACTGTTGAACATGAATGATTGTCTTCGCTTCTATTTATAACATAGAGAACATGGACATGTTTGCATAATTTGGCATCATTTACTACACCACGTCCTCTGAAGTCTGTCTCTAAATCTGGACATATTCCCAAAAGAGAACGCCCCCCTCCCCCGTCTCTGCCTCCACCGGCTCTTTGTTCTACAGGTGTCATGTTCACTCCCACAGATGCTGCATTCAGTTCAATCAATACTGAGTCTTTTGTTTGCATTGCTTTTTGTGATGAAAGCACAAATAACATAAGAGCAGAGGCCACTGATGAAGGTGTCGTGAATCATTAACCCAGAAGAAAAGGTTTTAGTTTATCATCCACATCCTAAGACACGAATGCCGCATGATTAGAGCAGAAATGATTAGTTGATTAATCGATTAGTCGATCGACCCAAGAATATGTATCAGCAACAACTTTAATATTTGATTAATCGTTTGAAACGTGCTAAAGCTTCAGCTTCTTCATTGTGAAGATTCTTTTCTTTTGTGATAGTAAACTAGAGCTGAAATGATCAGTGCATTAATGGATTAGTTGATCAACAGAAAAATCATCAACAATGATTTTGATAATCGATTAATTGTTTCAGTCATTTTCAAACAAAAACTAAAAATACTAAACGCTGTCTAGTTCCAGCCTCTAAAATGTCAGGATCCACTCCTTTACTGTTAACTGAATATTGCTTTTGGACTGTTATCCTAACAAAACAGGACATTTTTAAAACACCACCTGAGGCACTTGGTTATTTTTCACCAAGGATTAATCAAAAAACAACTGCCAAATTATAAGATAATGAAATACTCATTAGCTGCAGCCCTGAGGAGAATATCTCTGGGTGTTGTACTGAGAAGACATAAAAGTCAAGCAATTTGAGGAATTGAGTGCCTTGAGCTTTGGGCTCAAACAACTAATTAATTAACTGTGAAAATAATAGGAAAGTTAATTGACATTGAAAATGCCATGACCTCCTCATAAGTGCTTCAGAGACACAGTTTTATGAAGCGCTGTATATGTCAAGCAGCAGTAAACTTTACTGTACCTGTGCACATCTCTTTGTTCTGTAAATTGTCTGCTGTTATTAGGTGTCTGTTTGGTTTTGTGACTGTCCTCTTTGAATCTTGGGTTAATCTGTTGGCATGTTGAGGTTGTCCGTCAAACCGTAGCTGCCGTACATGCTTTATGCCCCGCTCTACTGTATCGTAGTGGGTAGTGATTATCAGCATGTGCAGAGAAAAGCTTTCACAACAAAGTGAGACGATAAGATTAGTGGCAGTCCTACTCTTACCTCAGCACCCGTCTGTTTAACCCTGAGCTGATTAACCCTTCAAGATGGAGTCAAACACATGGCAGTTACTGAAGCGCATTGCATTCCCAAAAACAAAAGTATTTAGAGACCTTAATTAAAAATGAAGACTTCTGTATCTCACAATTATGACTCACAATTGCGAAAACTATCTCATAATTACCAGATAATGTAGACTAATGGGACAGGAATTGTGACGCTTCAGAACTTGCCTGAGAATAATTGTGTTTTTAAGATTTCTTCAGTATCAAAGTAATTCCTCAACAGTTATCAGTACGTCCAATGGAAAATACCAAAAAGCAACTGTTAATAGCTAATTCGGCGTACTTCATTTTCCAAAATGTAAATAAATATAGGCTAAAAAATGGGGCTCAAATTGTAGTTTGCAGTGAATCCATGGCAATGTTCTACTGCCTGTTCCTTGTAAAAGTTTACATCTGTTCACACGAGTGAAGACTTATGTAACCTGTTATTCCATGAATTTGAATATTTTATGTTTCGTTATCAATTGAATTGATTCTTTTACAGAAAGAATAAATAGGTACAAAGATAAATAAATAAGAGTAGGGCTGAAACTGACAATTATTTTCATTATTGATTCATCTCATTCTTCATTCTTTTTCTAGAGTCCAAGGTGATGTGTCCACGTATCTTATTAAATTTACTACAATGTAAGGCCAAGAAAAGCAGCTCTTCTCAGAACACGTTACCATCAAATTTCTAGAATCCTTGATTGAAAAGGACTTAAGTGATTAATTGATTAACAAGATATTTGCAGATTAATTTTCTGTCATTCCACTAATCATTGCAGCTTTAAACAGGAGATGCAGTAGGTCATCTCTATCTAGGTCAAAACATGAATTTTCTCTCTTAGATAACAGAATTTATTTGTTCCAAGCGAATAAATATCCTGGCTTGAACTTCCTCTCTTTCTTTTTTTCAATAATATCTCTGCGTTTAAATTTCACCAACATTTTTTATTTTTGCTCTGCTTCCTACTTTTGTCCGATCCAAACACAGCCTCTGAATACGCTGAGGCATCACTGGGCGACATCTGTTTGGTCCAATCTTTTGCTGTTTACTCCAAAGCAGAATGGAGAACGAACAGTAGGAAAAAAAGAAGCAAATCCTTACCTTTTCTTCTATTTCTCGTTTCTTAAGTTTGTTTTGGACTCCACAAGAAACAAAATCACTGTAAGCAGAAGTAGAAAAGTCCTCAGAGGGCAGATAGCTTGGTGGATACCAAAGAGACAAGACTGGCTGATTGAAAAGCAGAGAGAGAAGAGAAATGGTTTCTCTCTCTGCTCAGCCGTCCTCACACAGCCCCACAGTATTATCTCTACCTCTCTCTCTCTCTCTCTCTCCCTCTCTTTCACTCTCTTTCTCTCTCTCTCTCTCTCTCTCTCTCTCTCTGCACTCCCCTCCTCCTCTTCCTCCCAAGAGCCTCTCTGACCTGCCTTTACTTGTTGCAGGAGGTTGGGGGCACCATCTCCAATGGGAGCCATTGGAACACGGCCCCTGATGAAGTGCTTATGTAGCTTTTTACGATTCGCCGTTGCCATAGTGATGCTCCTAAGCCTTTTTGTCCACAGTAAGCTCCATCAGCTGAAAGGGAGATAGAGAGCGATGAAGAGGCAGATAAAGAGGACAGAGTGGGTTTGAGCAACGAGATGGAAAGAGGGAGATAAATGAGAGGATGTTGTTTTGAGGACATGGTTAGTGTAGTGTGGGCTCGACATGCTGTGACGACAGCGTAGTTAAGCAGCGAGTGGCGCAACATCTGCAAGAGGTCAGTCAGCCTCTGTAAATTAACTTCCCACAGATAATGAGTCTCACTGGCCCAGGGCAGTCGTGCATGAATTATAGGAGGGTTGGAAAAGTGCTAATTGCAGGAGGAAAATGTTTCGGTGGTGTGTGTGTGTGTGTGTGTGTGTGTGTGTGTGTGTGTGTGTGTGTGTGTGTGTGTGTGTGTGTGTGTGTGTGTGTGATGCAGATGATAGAGAAGCAGAGAGAGAAGAAGTCCAGATTGCATGTGCAGTCGTTGTGTAGGTGGATATCAAGGTTTGTTGGTTTATTCTGTGTGTAGGTGTGAGCAGCTAACCTCAGACGGATTCCTTCTGCACATATTCACAGTAACCTTAAAATCTTCGTCACACTTCCACCACATGCACCCACCCCCCACCCCCCACCCCCCTTCTCCTTCTCCTTCTTCTTCTCCTTCTCTTCTCTGAGTGTTACACTGCTAAATAACAAGCTGGGTGCATTGTGAACTCAGTGTACTCACTACAGAAACATTAACATCCACCAGTGTTATCACAAACCCTCTGTGTTGTCCAGAGAGTATCAATTTATTTTGTTTGCTCTTCAATAAAAAACAAATTCAAGTCATTTAATTTCCTTGGGGCACCTTGTGATAATGGAAAAGTAACACTGACCCCAAATCACACATTTTCTTCAGATCAAAATGTTTTAAAAATATTCACCATCCCGATATATTTACAGATAAGCAAGTAGGCTGTGTGAGATTTGTCTTTGATAACCATCTCAAAGCAAATAATTCAATTAGCGTACCATAGGCCTGTTTCACAGCAGATATTTTAACTTGTCATACTTCATTATAATAACAGTAACAGTGACAGCCCGCGACAGTGACAGTGAGTAAGCATGAACAGTACCAGGACCCTGAAAGTCATTAAGCTCAGTTCATATATTTAACTATTTACACCTGTGATTTTTCTACTGCAACATGTCTAAATTTCCTCTTTGAAAAAGACCTATGAAAACTCACAAATCAGTTGTTAGTCTTAGTACTTCCCAATGAATATTAGGAATGTGTGGGCTACATGAAAGACATGAAAGAATTCTCTAGGCATATTTTTTATTAGGATACATTAACACACTGAAAATCACACTGCGCATGGTTACAATGTTACCTCATAAACACCATAAAAATACTTTCCTATTTTTACTTCAGATGCCGTTTTCTATCAGCCTTCCATCAGATTTTTTCAGTTTAAAAGTTGTAATTTACTATCTAAATAATTATTATTAAATAATTAATTAATAGAACATTATGTGTAACCATATTTATTGTGATGTTCCTTCGTGCCCTAAATAAATAAAGTTTAACTAGGAAGGACAACTTTTGGAGTGTCAGTTTGTAAAAAGAACAGCTCCTTAATTAACCTTGAAGACAGTTTCCCCAATGGAAGAGGATTTAATATCTTAAAGCCATAGTTACACCTTATAAGCCCTTTAAACCCTAATTAGAAAATGGTATTGATCAGTCTAACACTGGATAGTGAAATTTTATTGTCTTGTAGCTCACATGAAAAAGGGAATCTGAGGTGAGTTTTGGTGGATTAACCCTTTATTACATTTCTGACTTTCCTTCTCTAAAAGCCAGGGGCCCCTTCTGTAATGCAAGCAGTGTTTACATACAGTACATGAAGTACATGAAGGCACTGCATCCAGACAAACAACACTGTCCATGTGTCATGTTTTTAATCTGTCTGAATAAATAAATATCCAGACAGTATGACATGTGGAGGCAGTCTGTCCACCTCGGCTCAAAGGTGACATATGGGCAGGTAAAATCTCCCTGTAATCCAAATAGTGCTAATCCTCTAAAGTGATTCCCTCCATCAATCCCATGTTAACCTCCCTCAGCGAGCAGCTGCAGGGCTCTGACGGTGCGTCATCCGGGCACCGATGTTGTTTGGTGAGGTTTGGCAGATTCGCTGTGAATGGTGCTGAGACACCTGTGTGTTCTGATGCACGACATGAGCTTTGACACCCCCACCTCATATTATCTAATGTGTTTGTCACCACGCATATGGTGGTCACACTAGTCACACGAGGACGTCACACTAGGTGTTTGTGTTTTGCACTGACCCATAATGTTTTTACCAGATAGAGCTCACTGCACTGGGGCCATTCAGAGGGTGTTCCCCGATAAAACTGACTCTGAATGGTTTAATTCACTTATTTGTTCTCGAACAATAGCAATATATTTATTTATTTATTTATCATCACCTAAAGTTATAGGCAATAGTTACCTTGTGGTACCTTGGTACACAGTAGTATCTCATCAAAATTATTCTAATCTCTTTTAAGTATGAACATGATATCTCAGGAACGCCTTGGACTTCAAAGGTCAAGGTCAAAAATGAATTTAATCAACTTCACTCAAGTTAATTTAATTGAGTAAGTTTAACTTTATTAATTTCACTCAATTAAATTTGAAAAATTTCACCCAATTTAATTTAATTGGGTGAATATTATTAATTCTTTTGTTTCAATCACTGTAATTAATTTCACTCAATTTAAATTATTTCACTCAATTCAATTAATTTGAGTAATTGAGTAAATTAAATAATAAAGTAAAATAAAAAGTAATTAACTTAATTAATTGAGTAAAATTATATGAATTTAATTGATTTCACTCAACTCAATTTAATGAAGAAAATATAATTTATTTAAATCAAATTTAAATTCAGTTTACTTTGAATAATTTTCATTTATTATTATTATTTATTTTAATATTTCAGTTTTCACTTAATTCAGTACATGTAATCTAATTTAAATTAGTTCACTCAAATGAATTAATTTCACTCAATTGAATTTAACTAAGTAACAGTAATTTAATTTAATTAATTTTACTCAATGTAATTAACCCAATTTAATTCAATTTAATACAATTTAGAAAAAAAATGTAGTCAATGTAATTGACTTAATTTCAATAAACTTAATTATATTGATTTAATTTAATTAATTTAAGGTTTAATCTAATTTAACCTGTTCTGTGGAATAATTGAATTTCTCCACTATTTTCCTTTCTATATTTTTTTTTTCTTTATTGTCAACCACATGACTTTTTTTTTTCTGAAGCTGAAAATAACCTAGATTGCTCCAGGATTTTGTCAGCACTCAAGCACACCACTAGAGGGTAGAATTTCACTATTTTAGCTGCTAAGAGCCTCCACACAAGCTGTTGGTTCTCTTTTATTTCTTTATCTTTGCTGTAACATCTCAGTTTGTTGGTATAATAATCATCACAGGTGGTATGTGTTGAGTTATACAGGTTTTGGGTGGAGAATGAGGTGATCCCGGTTGGAGTTAATGTTTTTGTTTTGAGAACTCATACTTCACATTCTTGAGATGAAACGGCAGTTTGATCAAATAAACAACTCACTGCCTCACCTACTGAACAAATATTAATACCTGAGCACATTCTTTACTGAATTGCCATAGCAAAAAGAAAAGAGGGATTGTGGCTTCAGAAGAATAACCGACAGACACTTTAGGAGACAAACATTTGCAGTAAAACAATGTGCATTGAATTAACACTAGATTTCACTGCACATGAACTTGTCCAGCACATTAACAGACAATCGTCCCTTTGCACTCCTCCAGTGAAGAATCAAGCAGTGAAGTATGATGCACAGATGCAGACTGAGCTGAATGTGAGCTTTGTTTGATTGTCAAGCTGCTTCGAGTAGAGACACCCCCCCCCACCACCACCACCACCCCATCCCCCCAATCCCCCAACACACACACACACACATACATGTGTCACGCTGTGTGCACTCGACACTGAAGTGAACTGAGTAACAGTCACATGATGAGCCGTGCACAGAACACTCATACTGACCTTAGAGGCTTATTCCACGACAACAGTTTTTGTTTCTCTATATCTGCATGTTTTTCTTTTTCTCTCTTTTGGGTGATGAGTTTTGACTGATAAACTCTAGACAGACAAAAAAGACAATTATGCTGTTAATTTGGTAATATGTTCAACTATTCCCGTTCATGATGCTTAATGTTTAAGATAGTGGACATGCACTCACATAACATCCCTCACTAACGTCTGAAAATGTATTAATGTCTATCTATAATATTCTTATCCTGGTTTACCATATTGTAATTTTACTTTTCTTTGTTCTATCCTGTACACAAATCTTTCATATGTCTGTACGTCTTGGATGAGGTATCCCTCCTCTGTTGCTTTTTCTGAGGTTTCTTCTGTTTCTTCCACTCTTCAAGGGTTTTGTAAAGCTTCTTCTTATGACCTTTATTTTTTCCTCTTCTTTTCCTTTCTGACATCTTCCCTTCCTCTTCCCATTTAATTGCTGTCTCAAACCTTCTTTAGTAAACATAAATCTAATATATACAGTACATATCTGTTTTGTTTTTTGTTTTTTTACATTTACATGAATATTTAATGAATTAATTTATTGTTTTATTTATTTATTTGTATGTTTTGCCCTGCTATGTCAATCCTGTCTTCTTGTATCATGGTTTGTCTTGTCTTGTCTCACCTGTTTGTCTCTTCTCACTT